CTGTCTTTGAGTAGCCTGCCTTTCAGCTTGAGCTCGAAGTATAACTTTATGTTGTTCCAAAGTCTCTTCCTGTATTTGAGCAGCCTGTCTTGCAGCTTGTGCTTGAAGTCTTGGATTGCGTTCTTCTTCTGTTTCAGCTGCTCTTTGTGCTTACATTTTTTTTAGCGGCAGAAGACTTTCCATAGAAAGGGCGTTTCTTGAGTGGCATAATCACCTGTATCACTAAACAATAATTTGCAATTCACAAAGTTACTAAATCACTTATGAAACCACTTAGCACTATTTAAAGAAAACTGTTTTTGGAAATACTGAATTGACAGCAAAGTGATCTGAGTGTCTCCCGCCATAACGGTTTCTATGTGCAAAACGTGCTTATGTTTGCATGTTTATTACAAAAAAATGGCGCAATAATCATTAATTGCCAATTTCGTCATTAAATACTACATCAAATACAAAATAAATAGCACCATTAAAGTTCTTGTAAAATACTGGTTATTATGAAGTTATTTTAAAATTTGTAAGTTCAACCATTTGGTGTCCCATAGCGAACAAAATAAACAAATAGACAAACTTCCTCTTTTATATATATAGATTATAAAAGTAACTAAAATGTAAAAATATGAATTTCTTTAGGTTAGTTAAGGTTATATTATGTAAAATAAATAATGATAATAATGTAACATATTTCACGAGTAAAGTACGCGAGCAGCTCGACACCGTAACGTGAGCTGTAGTTCCCCAAGTAATTTACAACTTATAATTAGCACGAATAGTAGTTAGACACGGTTCAAAGGGCAATAAAACAATAAAATTTAATTATAGATAGATGTATGCTATTACAAATTTAAAGCTATTAGGATAAACGAATGTAGTTTCATGTTACATTTGAAGTCATTCTAGAAAGAAAAAGAGGGAAATTTATATATTTGTGTGTGTGTGTGTGTGTGTGTGTGCGAGGTAATAAAATAAAAATCAAGTCTCTCCATAGTTACTGTTTGCAAATAGTCAATAATATTGTAGGCCTATTTTATTGTTGTTCTTTCTACGCACCACCGTTATAACACATTATCATCTCATTCTTTAATTTCTGTTGTGCATATATTGTTGTATAGAAGATATTTAAAGTGATTCATTAGGTGGAAAACAAATAGATAGATAATAATATGTATATATATATTTCAACCAGCTTTTCGCCCTTACGTCTTCTTTATGGCTAGTAAAAACCATAAGAGCGAAACGTTGACTGATATATAAAAAAATAGTATTATTATTATTTGGAGAGTAAAAAAATCTTTCTTTCTCTCTCCCTAATTTTATTGGCCAAAGAAGTTGAAATTTAATTTTATTTCTGCCTATAAATAAATACTATTGTCAAAAGTTTTGCTATAGAAAATGTTGCAAATACTTTATGTAATCATAGTTTAAAAAAAAACATATGTTTTTCTATAACACATATTTGGGGAACAAGTATTTATATGTATGAACATTTCTGTAATTAGAAAAGGCTTATCAGTTACAAATAGGTCTAAAAAGTATTCTAATAACGTACCGGAACAAATTAAGCAAAAAAATCTGTGATTTTTATACCTTTCCGAAAGTATGTCAAAAACGTTTAATTTAAAGTTAGTACTGCTAGATAATTAATCAATCTAATATACATATAATGAACAAATGGTGCAGTAATTGCTATTTTAAGGCTATGTTTATCAGAAACAGTGAAGGTCACTGAATTTTCAAGTTCTAGTTACAACAAAACGGCGATAAGCCAACTTACTGTTGATAATATTACCATGTTCTAGTCCTAACTACAAATATACTGCTTGTTGTGTGGGTTTTTAGTTGTGAAACCTACAGGCCCTTTTAAAACTTAATATATGAATATCTGTGAGTGTGCTTCGAAGTCCTTTAATTTTTAGATATTCATGAATATTATTGTGTTTTTATTGAATTTTAATTAATTATACTTGTCATAAGACATTAGTATTAGGCCTATTATATTTTTAAGGCTGTATTCTGTATCTAATGTTAAAAATATATTATGCCTGATACTAATGTCTTATAGTAAGTTTAATTATGTTTCGACAGCTTATAAAAGGTGACCATACCAAAGCAGTTTATCGAATTTTATTCATCTTTACGACACCAAATGCTTTTTTTATACTGCAACACAAAATATAATAATTTTGTTCCCATTCTCTGACAGACATCAACAAAAATCCTAACGATAATAGGATGCATACTTATGTGTATTTGTCAGCTATTTATTGGACCGGCTACTTTCATGCCAATAGACACGTAAGTAAGTGATTACTTTAATATAAGTTTAATAGTATAACTCCCAAATTTCCTGTTCGTTTAATGGTAATTGTCATACAAGTTTCATTAACTGATTTTTAATAGTTCTATATACGAAATCATCTCATAAGAGTATGAAAGTCAGACTCTTAACAGAATTTCACCCGTTAGCTAGTCGAATTATTCTTAGCTGATTGGAATTGTCATAGTTTTGACTGTGTTTCTCTTTTAATATTTGTATCCAAAACGCAATACAACGCCACTTGAACTGAGGACATTGTATTTATTTTTTACCTTATATAAGTGTAATATATATATATATGTGTGTGTGTGTGTGTGTGTGTGTGTGTTGATACATATATTTATACATTTATGTGGGTGAATAAATTATTTGAACCAAAAATATTAAGCTAAAAATAGTTAGGTTGGAATAAAATATCAAAGCAGAAAAATCATTTGTATTAAGTAATTTCTTTGGACTGTCACTACGCTTCTTTAGCATTAAAAAACTAAAAAGACTTAATACAAATATGAGAAACATCATTGCTGTTTTTCATTTCGCTTCTTGAGATTTGTTGAATGGAATATGTATATTTGCAGCCTAAGGAAATAAAATTAATATCTTGTTTTTTATTGCTTTTAGTATTAAAGTAAAAAAATCATCAAATCTCTGTAGTACTCACGCAAAGGGGTGTTTATACAAGATTCTCTAAAGCTAAATTAAACCTTTTATTCACCTAGTTTATTTGTTATTAGTGAATTGTGTATATTATTTGAATCAGATTAATAGACCATTTTCACGTATAATTTTTGACAGGGAGAAAACTATATATAATATTCTATTCTAGGCAGTTGTGGCTTGTCTTGGTTTCTCTTTCTATCTTTGGGTTGGCATGCGGTAGTAAACTGGTACCCACGTTCATTGGTGCTTTACGAAACACCGTGTAAGAATGATCAACTTGATTATTAATTTGAACAGAATACGCCATTAGGCACGAATAATTAAAACCAAAATCACATTTAATTTAACATTAACTTTAGTGTAATGGTAAAAAAACAGATTAGCGAAACTTTTAATTACATATTAAAATATTATATAAAAAGGTTTTCTGGATAAAGCATCTAAACAGCTTAATTTAACAAATATTTTTCCAGTAGATTTCTGTGCATTTCTAAAACATCTAATAAGCCTATTTATTTTCTTATGAGATAAACTTATGATAATAAATTAGTTTCTTGTAATTTTTATATTACTAGAGACCGAGGTTTTCCAAATGATCTGACAACATATGGATTAGTGTCGTCAATGTTTACTTCTACCATGGCGTTAGGGTAAGTATTGTTTCGCTAAGCCTTTCACCTTTAGTTTATATGGACGTAAGGATTAAGTTTTCTTTCAATTAGCCTTATCCCCCCTCCCTGAACGTACATAATTAACGAAATTTAAGGTCGAGAACTAATGGCAGGTGAACACGTATAAAAGAAAAAATTTCGTTGAAACGTGTTAGATGTATATATATACATATATTATATGATATAAGCAGCGATCTAGGTGACAAACACAGATGATAGAGAAAAGCGTTCTGGGATACTGCGCGTGTGCGAATATTTTTTCGCAACGAAATTTTACTATCTCAATTTTTAGGAATCAGCCTATATAAAATTCTTACAGTATGAATACAATATTCTATACACTGAGAAAATTTAGAAAGTGCTTGTTTTTTATTTGAATAAAATTTAAATACCACGCCGATGATTGCCGAGCAACAATCAAGATGGCGTCGTCCGATGAGAGAGTCCTCTTCAAAAGGAGATTTATAAATCATTTGAACATAAGGAATATAATTTATCTTTTACTTGATATAGTACTACAATTCATTCAATTCGTTCATAATATCAATTAGTTAGTGCCTTTAAAATATGTTTCATCACTACGGTATGCTCCAGCGTTTTTTATATGTGTTTTTTTTTTCGGCCCTACTCTAGAAGCCAATCTGTTACAGTTTGTTTGTAATTAAGCACAAAGATACACAATGGGCTATCTGTGCTCTGCCCACCACGGGTATCGAAACCCGGATTCTAGCGTTGTAAGTCCACATACATGCCGCTGTGCCACTGGCCAATCTGTTACAGATTGTGTGAAAAAAACTTCCATTTTAGATCCTGTCACACGTCATTGTCCAAGCGGCTTTTCATTCGTTTAGACTAGACGTATCACAGTCAAAAGCCTATTTTAAATGTTATTTATTTGAAGCATTGGAGCTGAATGTTTCAATAACTAAACTGGAATAAAAAATACAATAAAATAAAACGAAATATAAGCAAAACTATGTGATAATTTCCATCGCGATTTAAGATTTGAAAATAAATGTTTAAAACATTCCATAGAAGGTTTTCTTCCCTGTGAATGAAAAACAAAAAAAAATTGTTACTATTAAAATTTGTTGCAAAAAAATTCAGCTCTTCCTAATTAACTATTCGTGTCCTACAAAATATAAAATACAATATGAAGAATTATACATGGACTTCCTTCCATATACGTTAAAATATTTTTTACGAGCCTTCAGCACTCTTATCGGAGCCTTCGCCCCCCCCCCCCAATGGCACAGCGGTATGTCTGCGGACTTACAACGCTAGAAACTGGGTTTCGATACCCGTAGTTGGCAGAGCACAGATAGCCCATTGTGTAGCTTTGTGCTTAACTTCAAACAAACAAACCGGAGCCTTCCCTGGGCAACAATGTAGTGAGCAATATATATATATATTATCATTTATTATCGGTTATGCATAATAAAAATATTTGTTTATTTTATTCACAACATCAGGTGGCATACAAAAACTATGTATATTATCATTTAGTTTCATGCATTGTTGATAATGTATAAACAATGTGTAGATTTGTAATAATTTATATTATTTTTTTTACACAACATTATTTTAATGAGATTGGTAATGCTAACACTTATCTTCTCAGAGCGTTTGTAGGTCCCACCGTTGGTGGCTATCTACTAGATGTAATTGGCTTCCGGAAAGGAACAACAATACTACTTGGAATCGAGCTGGGCGTGGTAATTTAATTTTGCATATTTTGTTGCTCTTATTATTTCTATTTGTTCCCTTTACATCGTATGATCAATTTAAAATGACGTCACAGAAAAGGAAGTTGATATAATAAACGTTAGTGAAAATTACGTCAATCTACATTTTATTCAGTTAAATTAACTCAATTCTGAAATTTCAACCTTATTTGGGGGTCAATAAAAGTACAGGTTGACTATCACTAATCCGGCATCATCGGGACCTGGAGGGTGCCGGATTAGCCATCTATTAGGTTAGAATACACCAAACCCACTAGCTAACCACCTCATCTTAAAATTAAAATATCCCATAAAACAGTACAAGTTTATTAATAAAGAAAAGATAATTATCAAATAAATTCAAGTGAAAAATTTAATGAAATACAGGCACAGGTACACTACAAATTAATTCTGTTGGCTTACACTAGATCATCACTGCCACTTCCAAAGTGGCATTTACATGTCTTGAGGTGGAGGGCTGTCAGGATTCTCATCATCATCTTATAAGGTGAGTGAGATATCAGGAACTGGTGGTGACGGTGGCAACATAACTGGGTGAGCAGCTGTTGAAGACAGTGGATGTGCATGTGATGAGGAGATGTCAGGATTAGCATCTGGGTGAGCAGATGTTGAAGGCACTGAATTTTCAATTGATGTCTTCTCTGTTACACGCTTTCTAGCTATTTTTTTGAATATATCTGGCAAGCTGAGCTGTTTCTTATATTTTGGTCTTTCTTTGATTAGTTTATCCTGAAGCATGTAAATATTCATTATTTCTTGCTCAGTTATAAAACTGTGCTGCTCTAAACCTTTCAGCAGTTCACCTGTCAGCTGAATTAATCGATCAATAGAAACTCTTTTAGCTACATAATCCTCATTTCCATCACTACTTTCTCCTTCACTGGCTTGTTGCTCTGGACTTACAACCATTCGTACAATTTCTGAGTCCGTATAATGATGAACAACAGGTGCATCGTCATCAACAGTCATCCATTCTTCAATGTTATCTTCATCCAGTCTAGATGCAAGATCCTTCGCAGCAGGATTGGTCAGATCACGAGCAAAAGACAACAGATCATTTATCTGCTGTTTCTCCTTTGAAGGTCTAATTCCTATAAAGTTTGGTTCACGATCTTCATCAGGTGCTGTCTCATATGTTAACCCTGGCCACAATTTGTGCCAGCCATGTTTCAGTGTGGCTGGCTCTACAGATTTCCAAGCATTAGCAACACAGTAAACCACATCTCTCATATTATATTCACGAACAAACTCACGTACAGGCTTCCCAGAGTTAACTTCACTCAGCAGGCGCCTCATAAAATGAGTGCGATACTTCGACTTTAATGAACGTAATATGCCATTGTTCAGAGGTTGAATCAATGAAGTGCAGTTAGGTGGAAGATAGATACCGAAAACATTGTTCTTTACCAGGAGTTCTGCTTTTGCATGAGTTATCTAAAATAAGCATTATCTTACAGTTACGGTCCAAACCAACAGAGTCACAATGAGCTCTTGCTTTGGGGACAAAGCAGTTCTGAAACCAATCCAATAGCAGTTCAGTTGTTATCCGACTTTTTTTGTTGGCACGGTAATTTACAAGAAAATGTGTCATACCTTTGAAAGCTCGAGGACGTAAACTTTTACCGATGACCAGCAACTTACACCTGTGTGTTCCTGCAACATTGGAGCAGTCCAGCACAATAACACGATCTTTCGATGCTTTATAACCTGTCGGCGATTCTGTATCCTCCGATTTCAGTGTTTTTTTGGTTGTACATTTCCAAAAGAGTGCAGTCTCATCTGCGTTATAGACCTGGTCAGGACTTAAATTTTCATCACTGACCAACTTGGTGAACTCGTCAACAAATTTTGCAGCTGCTTTTCCTTGTCAGCTGATCCTTTTTCGCCACACACTGCACGAAACTTTAAGCCGTGTCGTTCCTTAAAACGCTGCAACCATCCTTCACTGTAATCGCACTGATGTTCCAGTCCGAGTTCTTCATGAAATAGTTTTGCTTGTTCCTTCACTAGATCACCTGACAGTTCGACTCCTTCACTTTCACGCAACTTAAACCACCTCATCATTACTTGATCTAGTTCTGCACTTTTACCAGGTTTCATTGTTTTCCTTTTAAACATCTGTTTTTA